TAAGTATGTTCTAGAAAACAATGCAATAAATCTCCAATCCCATACCTCTAAGCAAGGGTTATGAGATCTCTATGTATCCCTGCTAACGACTGAAAAACTGTACGGCGTCACCTAGCAGCAAAGACCTGAACTGGTGAAACAAATGAACAAAGCTCATCTGAAAAGGGCTTACGTTCACATTACGTTGAAATAGCAGTTACGTATAATTACCGAAGTTAAGCAACGTCGAGCCTGGTCAGTACCTAGATGGGTGGCCATTTGAGGATTCCAGGATCTGTAAGCTTGGACGTGCTGGTGGTTTAATAGACTCCGAATTGTTAACCGGAGAGCCGAGTGCCAAATCCAAGTTGGGTTCGTTACATTCACTTACGAACAACTACCATTGTAAAAGGTATGAATCCGCCTTTTCTGACTCCCTATCTATGGGTTAATTAGTAAGAAGTAAAGTTAAAAATTGCATGCGAAATATTTAGATTTTGGCATAAAGTAAACTATAGAGGTTGATGTGCAATCAAGCAATCAACATTCTGAATCTTTTTTAATATTACGAAAGAAACCCCACCTGCTTACATTGTTTTTGACCTGATTTGCCTGGTACACAAACAATATAAATAGCAACTATAATCTTCAAATGTCACGTCTCATCCGTACGTATAAAGACCTTGTAAAATCTTTTATGTTTCACGCATTGGTGCCAAGAGTTGTTGATGCATAAAGTAAGGCCAAGATCTGAGGCTAAATAATTTGCTTTTAAAATTTTCAGTTTTCGGATTGAATTTTTTGTTTAAGAAAGGTATATAATAAAATAAATAAAGACAGATATATATTGCGTAGAAAATATTTCGATTTGGGTATTAAATAACACATAGAGGTTGATATGCCATTAAACGAATTTAACCAACCAATCATCTGAACAATTGCCATGGAAATAGCGATAGAATAGCGGTAGGATATATATATATATATATATATATATATATATATATATATATATATATATATATATATATATATATATATATATATATATATATATATATATATATATATATATATATATATATATATATATATATATATATATATATATATATATATATATATACGCAGAAACGAATAAGAAATGACGTCGCTATATGACTGAATTTAACTATCCCAACTTGCTTGATTACCACAGACTAATTGACAAGTACTGAAGAAAACAAGATCGGGAGTTCAATTCTCACTGAAGGAGTGAAAACTAAATTTAATAGCTTAAAATTTTAAAATGTAGATGTAGTGTTATGTAAATGATTGTCTAATTAACATAGCGAAGGCATACACTATATAAATGCCTAAGCTGTAAGGCTAGAGCAGCTCTCGGTATACGAGTATCGTGTTCCCTCGTTTGCCAATAATATTCGGTCAAGTCCCATGAAGCCATTCCCCGAAGCAGTACCTCTATTTCAGCAAAGAGTTAGGTTTATTTCCGATGCCTGAGCCGATGCAAAAATTTGAGAAATTTTTCTTGGTATCGGTGTTAAACCCACTTTAAACTGACATTGTGTTACATTCGGTAAGGACGTGGGCGAACTGAAAAATCACGGTATGCAAGATAAACGACTGGCGGTGGACTGATAAAATACAAAGGAAAGTACACACCATGGCAGTAAAAAAAAAAAAAAAAAAAAAAAAAAGAAAGAAAAATATTGTCGACTTAGGTTATGTTTTTTAAAAAATTCAAAATTCTTGAGATCTAGCTTAAAAGCCGCACTTTATACAGAATTTTAAGCTAACTCCTGCATAGTGTTAACTGGACCCCCGATCCCAAGCTAAAGGGAAATTTGCTCCTGCTTAGAAAACAGCAATGACAATTTTGAAGAAATAACTTTGAATTCCTCAATTCAATTCTTGAAACTTCAAAACTTCACTTTAATTCTGATTCGGGCTATGAGTCCAATAACGGCCAAAAGTCCGAGTTAGGCCGAAGCTCCAATTTTGAATCGAAATTCCAGTTCAGGCCGAAAATTGAACTCCGCGGAACATCAATTGAGTTGAGTTCTTAAAAATCACAAACACTGCGAAACTTCAAAACCTCACGTCACGAAACCTCTCACTTTAATTCTGATTCCTCTGAATTTTGAAGAAATAAAATTGAATTCTTCAATTCACAAAATTTTGGACATATTTTAAATTGAATTTAAAGCAAAAAGTTACAAATTAACAAAGTTTTTGTGTAATTTTAAACTCAATATAAATTAAAATTTTTTAATATCACTAATTCTTTTCCAGTTATTTTAAAACTTGAATTTTTAACTGCTCCCTTCTCAGCAGGAGAGAAATCCCAATGCTGGATATTCAAGCACCAGATGAAAGGCAGATTTTCAATCTCGGGATCATCCTGATTCCAAAACAGTATGTCTTTGTAGAGCAAGTGTGGCCTGAGTTAGAAAGGTTTCAGACACACAGACGGACAGACAGAATTTGCCGTTCATTTATTTCGAAGATTACCTGACATTAAAGGATCCATTTATTTATTAAGTTGTTCGGAAAATACTTGAACGTACGTGTTTAGGTGTTATAAAAACAGGACTCAATGTCACGAAGTAGAGCTATAAGTATATATTAGTGAATATACATAATATCCAACGCCAATAACACTACTCGGAATTTCATGCAGTTTATGCACCGGCCAGAATCCACACCTGAAGATTGCATGAACTGCATGAAACTCCGAGTAGTGTTATTGGCGTTGGATGTATATTCATTAATATATACATACATATATATATATATCCCAATGAATGTATGAATTCGCATCTTCTCCCTCGCGTTACATGTATCACTAAAAACAATTATTATCTAAAAAAACAAACAAAAGACAATCAATCTCTCAACAATTCCTTGGTTTCAATGCGACTGTGGAATTGAACTGGTTGATCACTCTCTCTATTCTTCTGATTTGACCCCATCTAATCCGCTCGCAAACACTTGTGAACCAGTATTGCAATGATTATGAGAACCTATGGTCATTAGCAAAAAAATGATTCCGAAATGCAATGACCATCAGCAAAAAGATGATTCCGAAATGCAATGACCATCAGCAAAAAGATGATTCCGAAATGCAATGACCATTAGCAAAAAGATGATTCCGAAATGCAATGACCATTAGCAAAAAGATGATTCCGAAATGCAATGACCATCAGCAAAAAGATGAGCCTGAAATGCATTTTTCCAGTAGGGGACACTATAATCAAGCAGGTGCGGAAATTTAAATATCTGAGAAGCGTTCTGATAGAGAACAGTAAGTGCGAAGCTGAGATCCGAAGACGTATTGGGATGCCTAAAGACGCATTTCAAAAGTTAGTCAGAGTATTACGAGACAAAGAGTTTTCTTTGGTAACAAAGAAAAAGAGTACTGAGCTGCTACGTGATATCTGTCCTCCTTTACGGCAGCGAATATTGGACGGTCTCTTCAATGATGAATGAGAAACTCGAGGCGACAGAGGTACCGTTCTACTGAAGGATGCTAAGTTAGACCGAACATGTGAGCAACGATATGGTTTTCGGGCGTGTGGGAACAAGGAGGAAGCTTATACTTAACATCAGGAAGAGAGCTGAAATTTCTGGGACAAGCAATGAGAAAGGGGGGGGGTAAATCTGATACTCACAGGGTGGATAGAGGGAAAGAAGGACAAGGGAAAGCAACGGGTGAAATACTTAACGGCCTGAAGCAAGTGGATGGCAGAACTGGGTCTGGGAGAAATAACAACAAAAAAATACTTATTGAGAGCTACAAGGGATCTGCTGTTGATAATTTTTTGAACAACATGATGGAAACTTCTTCACCAATGGCGTCCAAGCAGTGCAACACCGACTGAAGAAGTGTGTGAAACCTCATTTGGTCACACTCCATTCTTAGCTGACCCTCGTACAAGGCAATGTCTAATTGACTTATTTTTTTTTGTCATTTTCTGACGTTACAAACAAACTGTTTATATATCACAACAAACTTAAATATTTCAGAATTTAAAGAGAAAATTCGGATCTGTATTTCTGAGATGAGGTATTGAAACTATTTACATTGCTCGGACTGTTGACCTCATCTTTATTGCCATATTGTTATGGTTGAACACACCTATTCTATAGTTAATAGACTCTCCCACCTATAATACGCAGGAGTAGTAAGAGTAACGAGTCAGACGATGTCGGACGACAGTTAGGCGAATACGAAAGTATCAGCGACCACAACTAGAATACTCTGCGTAATACCTATTATATCAAGTTCCTAACGTTTTGTACGTCGAACCTATTTTAGGACCGACTTAGTACAAATGCAAGCCTCCACTGCGAAATAACTCCAAAACACATATTCATGTTCAACATCTATCTATATTTCTGAGATGAGGTATTGAAACTATTTACGCTATTTACATTGTTCGGACTATTGTCCTCATCTTTCTCGCCATATTCACAACGTTTTGGCTGTTGAACGATCCGGTCTTTTTCAGGATCTGTCTATATTTCTGAGATGAGGTATTGCAACTATTTACTCTGATTACATTGTTCGGACTGTTCTCCTCATCTTTATTTCTATATTTACGACATTTCGGCCATTGTACGTTCCGGCCTTCTTCAGGATCTGTCTATATTTCTGAGATGAGGTATTGTAACTATTTACACTATTTACATTGTTCGGATTTTTTCGTTATCTTTACCTGTTTGTAATGGCAAGCGTCCATCGTGTCGTCTGTATTTGGCGGCCATAATGTCTTTTTGGAAGGTATTAATAAAATAAACGAACCTGTTTGGATTGAAAGAAGAGAAGAGAAAGTTTGCAGCAGAAGATAAAATGTTCAAAATACACAATCAGAAAAAATAAACAAAAGTATTACATTCTGTTTCCCCATACACCTCGAAAAAACGTCTGAGAGAGAGTGGGAGGGAGTGAAAAAGCTAAGATGATAGGGCGAGATAAGAAGAAGAAAAGGAAAGAAATGAGAGAGAGATAAGGAAAGGAACTAGACAGAGATAGAGGGATAATAAAGAAAGCAACTAGAAAGACAGAGAGAGAGAGAGAGACTGTGAGAGAGAGACTGTGAGAGAGAGACTGTGAGAGAGAGGGGGAGTAAGTAGAGGAAGAGAAAATTAATTAGAGAGAGACAGAGAGAAGGAGAGATAGAGAGAAAAGGAAATGAACTAGTGAGAGAGAGAGATAAGGTCAGCAAAGGTAAATATACCGAGAGAGGGAGAGGGAGAGAGAGAGGAGGAAAGGAAAAGGCCTAATCAGAGAGGGAGGTAGAGGAGGAAGGAAAGTACTAATCAACGAGAAAAAAAGAAAAGGATAGGAGATAAGCACAAAGAGAGAGTGTAAGAGAAATGGAGGAGGAGGATAGGGAAAAGAATAAGAGCTGGTCAAAGAGAGGAGGAAGAGGAGAATGAGAAGGAAAGAATATGAGTTAAAGGAGGAGAGAAGGAAAAAGAAAAGGTGAAGGGCGATATAATAAGAGGAAAAGGAATGGAAAGAGATCGAGAGAGAGAGAGAGAGAGTAGAGAAATAAGGAAATGAAGTAGAGAAAGAGAGAAAACGGGTAATAAAGAAAGAAAATAAAGAAACGAGAGAAAGAAGGATAAGGAAATGAAAAGAATTAGAGAGAGAGGGGGAGAGGCGATATAAAGAGAGAGAAAAGGAAATGATCTAGTGAGAGAGGGAGAGAGAGGAGGAGGGGGAGAGTAAAAGGAAAGAAACTAGACCGAGAGAGAGAGAGAGGGAAAGGAAAAGACCTAATCAGAGAGGGAAGTAAAGGAGGACGTAAAAAAATCAAAGAGAAAAAGACAAAAGGATAGAATAAAAGAGAGATGGAGGAGGGAGAGAATAAGAGCTAGTTAAAGAGAGGAGGAGGAGGAAAGGATAGGAGCTAAAGAGAGAGAGAGAGAGAAGGGAAAAGTGCAGGAAGACTTCGACGTACAAGGGAGAAGACAAATTAACTATAAGAAGAGAAAATTAAAAGAAAGATGAAAAATAGCGGACAGCGAAAGAAAAGTTAAAGAAATTGAATCTTTGGAAAATTTGAAGGACGAAATATTGATTATAACAAAAAGAGGAAGAGATAAAAATAAAACAACAAGGAAATGGTAACGAGGCAGCAAAATTAGGGTGGAGACCCAGATTCTTAGTCCTTGATTGCACCTGAGAACACCCCTAATTTCTACAGAGAAAATAAATAGAGGAGGCAGAATGAATTCAGGAAAGCAAGCTAAACTTGCAAAGGATTCTTTTTTATTTCTTTGCCTTTCTGTATTTCAATCATCACATCTTTGTGTTTATTTCTTTCTTTTCCGATTGTTAGTTGGTTAGGGTGGGGAACATTGAGCTTTGATTGTCGAAAACATTCAACGGATAAAAACGAAATCTTTAGGGGCGTCACTGTTTGTTATTGATAGTAGTTAGGCTTTCAGAATCCCTGCCGGTTGTACACCTGCAAAATAGAATTTCCGTTCTATATTCGTACATTTTTCTTTCTTTTTTCTTATTTTTTCTTTTTAGTGTCAGTCATTTTTTTTTGTTTTTATCCCTCATTTGACAGCTTTTTGTCTATTTTAACGCCGAAGTAAATTCATAAATCGACTACCAAAAATTAGCGTAATTTCACATGTATAATACTCACTTTTTCTAAAAAAAATGATAAGCAAAATTAGGGGTGAGTATTATGTACAGATACAAAAGTTTAAAAAAAAATGCCATTTCATAGGTCGATTTCAGTTGCGTAATGACTACACACCCCAAACATACGACAATTTGACACAAACATTCGGCGATTGCGACCCCATAAGGATGTCCAATACAATCATATGTACCTAACAATAATTACAAATGTAAAATAAAATAAAAATTATCATAAAACTAAAATAGAATAATATTATTCTATGTTTAAAACCATTTTCTTTTTGATAACAGTAGTAAACACTGGTCGTAATGAAATTGGAGAGGTACAATTTATAAGGTTTGATTACTAAACAAGGGATGCGTATTATGCGTGAGTAGAAGCAATTTCCTACACTTTCAGCACAATTTGAGGAGGGCGTATTATGGATGATGGCGTACTATACATGGTGAATTACGGTAATAGCAATTCGCTCGGGTTTACAGTGATACTAACGTCTTTTTGGTTTTATATCTCTCCTAACGAATGTCGTATGTACATATGTACGACTATAGATTTTTGACCAAAATGACATTAAGTCACAATAAGGTTCAGGTACAAATCGTCTCCTGTTTTTCATGATGCTAATCAAGTCCTGCATGCGGAATCCTTTCAATAAATTTTAAATTTTTTATGAAAAAAACTAATATAGTGCGTTTTTTTTTTTAAACTAACGTTTACCAAATAAAAGGCACATGAGCAATTCGTGGTGAAGGAGATCTATAATATGAATGTAAGAGGAGGAGGAAGCAACCGATTTGTTTTTTTACGGATTATGAACCCTTTGTGGGTTAAGGCCGAAACATATTTTGAATTGTAGGAATGATTCTTTTTTTTTGCGAGCGAATATTTCATTAAGCCTTTTTGAACGAATAAGAATTACCTTTTTCATATACAATTCCTAGTATTTAACCCATAGCTGGGGAGAAGGAAGGAAAGATTACGAGGATAAGGAGGATACATAGCGATTGATCATTGACAGCTTAAGAGTATAGTGTTCAGAGAAGAATTTACACTGGAGTTTTTTTCCCCACAAACTAGCAGTACCCTGTGAAAAGCCGAGTAGAACATCTTCCTTACGGAATAATTGGAATATGGAGGAAATGTGGGTGATTGTAATTTCGAACTGCACCTCAGCTCAGAAATCTAGACAGATATTGAAACTGAGATATCCAGAAAAAGCATGACACATGGACCTAGAACAATCTAACCTGGTGGACGAAATAAAGGGTTCGGTTCGAAATTCCAGTCACCTGAAGAAGGCCGGAACATATAATGGCCGAAACGCCGTGTATATGAGAACAAAAATGAGGAGAACTATATAAATAATTACAATAGACAGATATGGAAAAATAATGTTTTGTGTTTGAAAACTTGCTCCATCTAATAGCGCCAATGGGCTCTCTGTCACTATTGTCGTTCTGATGGGAATAAATAGGTGACATCAGTATTGTCTACCTGGCATTTTGATCTGGTACCACAAGTCCAATTGCCAATAAATAGATGACGAAGAGTTTGTCATTTACAGAAAAGGAGAAAATGAGCAAGATCAAGTAGAAATAGGATTTGGGTTAATTTACTGCATTCCGTATGTGCGTCGTACTTGGAACCTTCTGGTGTATGATGTATTGATTTTAACAGTATGAGTATCGAGAGAAGTAACTACCAAAATTACTAGTCGATACTAACATGGATCTTATAGGTCAGTATTTTCATAACCCTACCCTGCCTGGCATTTTGATTAGGGACGGTAAATCCAACTGCTAATGTTCGAACAAGCAGTAATGTGAATTTCCTATTTACTGTGTCCAGAAATATAAAGTGATCTATTAACGTTGTGCCGACACTTGATCATCTTTGGTGTGATGAATAGGGCATGTTTTTTAAAGGTCATTGTCTGATGCAAAAAAATCAGGTTAACCCTGCTATTTCTGTAAAGCATCTTAAATGTTAAAACTCGTAAGGTCTGTAGAAATCCGTTGGTTACTGCCATTCTCTCTCTCTCTCTCTCTCTCTCTCTCTCTCTCTATATATATATATATATATATATATATATATATATATATATATATATATATATATATATATATATATTCAACATCATCACTTGATAAAACACCGGAGTGTTGAAACAAAATTTTTGTAGTGATTTTATAACATGTTTATCTGATAAATTTTCTAAATAAATAATTATATATATATATATATATCCTGTGCGCTATGTCAGAATGTGGGCGATCATAGTTCTCCATAACTTCCTCTCGCTCGTAGCTCTTAGCAACGTTTTCCTTTTGCCAAAACTCCGACCTTTGTTCCGTTATTTATTCACACAAGCGCGTCAGCTAGGTGTCTCATTGCCTTCTCATTCGGTCAGGTTTCATCAATAATTTATTTCGATTAAATTTTTTGATTGTGTTATCCTTGTGGGCGAACAAGTGATCTTTTTTTTACTTATTGTATGTAGAAATTGTCCATATGGCTTTTCGTTCGAGTTCTTAAGACAAGCCTTCAACAGATCTTATAGACTGACGCAATAGCAGGACAAAGAACTTTGGTTTGTTTTGGATTGATTTAGTTTGTTTTACGGCATATCAACTGATAGAATGGCGCAGAAATGGTCTTCGAACCGATTTTCATGAGAGCCAGTTGCAGGCGCTGATTAAAGAAGAACTGGGCCAGACCCCAAGGAAATTGGCTCAGAAGATGGCAAGCTCTCGTGTTACGGTCCTTCGTCATCATCACTTAGTGGGTAAGGTTCAGAAACACGGCGCGTGAGTGCCACATACATTGACCGAAAAAAACAAACTACAACACTTCTCCACTAACGTCAGTTTATTCGAGTGCAATTGGATCTCATCAAACTGAACAAGTCGACCAGAACGTGGAGAGTCTGAGGCTTGTTTTAAAAATTGTATTTTTATATAAAAAACTGAAAGAAAAGTAGTTTTTGTGACGTACGGCGCCGGTTAATAATTAAGTATAACTCAAGACTTCAATGTTAAGATAAAACAGTATTTAACCGAAAATAAATACTAGAGAAGAACAAAGAAGTAAAAGTCAACCAAAGATAACTAACGACTTCAATAATACCTTGTCAGTAGCGCGACTCGGTTTAACGTTCGGTAAATCTTAAATCAAAACTCAAATCATCGACGCACAGTAATTCACACTAATTCGACTGGATAGTTCCGCTCAATAATCACTGCAGTCAGTAGCCTGACATCGCTATTTATACACCTGGCGGAAAACATATATTTATAAGTCCAGAGTGTCACGCTCGAACCTCGGTGTCGGTAGTTACTCATTTTCTTCCTATATGACACTAGTAAAATGAATATATTCAAAGCGGGGCTGAAAAGTTCTTAGCTCAACTAAGAAACATGTTAAAACCGGAAATGGGTCGAACTGATAAATTTTTAGCATACGTCGGTTCACTTACCATTCTTCTCCAAGAAACTAGTTTTGGGAAGGATTTTGAAAAGGTTCCTTTAAACATTCAAAGTATCGAACTCAATGAGTGAATTTAGCGAACCTACCAGATGGAGTGCATTTACAGACTGTAATTCTACGGAAATAAGATACACTCCAGAATTAAAGCGAGCCAAGCTGAAAAAGCGACTTTGTTTTTATAGGAATGCATAAAAGAATTACTGTGGCGTGTTAATGCATTTTTTTGCCTTCCATCAATATGGCTGATACTAACCCCCAGTAGAAAAATTTGGTGCAACTTTTCAGTCTAACGTTTTCCACCGACACGAAGTGGAACGATTAAATGGAATCAAATGCTTTGTCTGCTGCTAGGAAAGTTGGTTTATTGTATTGACAACTTTTCTCGAATTAATCTATCTTGCAGCTTTATAAGTCTACCATTCCTCCGTGCATTGCATATTGCTGCCACATTTTTTCTGGTGCTTCTGCTATATAGCTACAGAGTCTTTTTTTTTTAAATCAAATTCACCCCAAGCAAGGCAGTAAATCCATTAAGGCGCAAGGGGTTATTGAGTGTAAAAAAAAGGAAACAGAAGGCATTATGAAGGAAACGAGTACCATCAAAGATCAATCAGGAAGACAGTAGATAACTATCGACATTCGATTTATATTTTTGAAGATCAAAGTTGGCCAGAAAGCATGGTGCCGGGAGAGAATTCCACGAGTGAGAAGTGCGAGAAAAGAAAGCGCTAGCATAGAAATTACGATTACAATCTAGCGAATTCAACTGTAAATTGATGAGACCTTTCCGCCAGTCTAGTACTGCGCTTAAATTCATAAAGTCTAGGTACTATAGCGAAGAGCGATATTTATTCTGCTATGTACAGAAATGTGGCACAAGGCCAAAATGGGGAATAGGGGAAAAGGACGGTCTTCTTCTGTCTTAAGGTTAAACTTAGCTAGTCATAAACACTGACCCAAACATACAACAATATTTCTTACACCACAACAACGCATTCTTTCTTACCTTACTACATCCACCATAATACCGCAATGTCTCTATGAAAGTCCTAACTAGTCCCCATAAGGACATTTCATTGTCTGGGGAAGGGAATAAAACAACTTTAAAAATCTAACCCCAATGAATAGCGAATAGCTCATCCGAATAATTACCATGAAAGTATTTATAGAAAAGTAAAGGGAGACAATCTTACGGCAGCGGGAAAGTGACTGAAGTGACGGGGTCAAAAATATTTCTGATTCTTCTTTTGATTTTATCAAAGAGCTCTAGATTGCTAGCAGGAGCACCGGACCATATGTGGCAGCAATATTCTATGCATGGACGAATGTTAGATATAGAAATGTAAGATAGTCTCAGGAGAGAAAAACCATCAAGCAGGACACAGTGAACATCCCGGCAGCTAACAAACGAAATATTGGAGTGAATAAGATATTAAGTAATAAATTAATATTTCACGTTATCATTTTGCGGTCACGTTAACTTCCTTCCGCGATTGTATCATATATTATAGGTACCATAGCAAAGAGCGTTATTTATTCTTATGTATACACAGAAATGTGGTACAAAGCCAAAATGTGGAATGGGGAAAAGGGCGGTCTTCTTCTGTCTTAAGGTTAAACTTAGCTAGCCACAAACACTGACTGATACAATAATATCCCTTACACCCCAACAACGCATTCTTACTTACCTTACTACATCCACCAGAATACCGCGATGTCTCTATGAAAGTCCTAACTAGTCTTCATATGTACAATTCATCCGAACAGTTACCATGGAAGTATTTATAGAAAAGACACAGTGAAGCAAAATCACGGCGGTGGGTAAGTGTTTGAAGCCGAGACGTCACGTCAGGACCAATAATATTGCTGATTCTCCTTTGGATTTTATCAGGAATGTCTAAATAAATAGCAGGGGCACCTGTGGAAGCAATGTTCTAAGTATGAAGGAATGGTAGGCTTATAGATATGTAAAATCGATTCTAGAGAGAAAAATATTGTCCAGCACGAGACAGTGAGCGACCTTTCTTACAAAAATGCAATGTTGTCGGTTCTGACCTGGCATCTTGACTTCTGTCACTTTCTTACCGCTGTAATTTAGTTCACCTGTGCATTTTTTAAATAAATATTTTTTTCTTTTTTCGTCTTTTTATCAATTTTTGTTTATATTTAACAAAAATTGCATAAGCAAAACGGATCGGAAATAAATCTCTGGCGATGCATGTATTAGCATTCCTTAATGGTCACAGAATATACAAACGACCAGAGAGTTGTGATAGAAAGCAAGAAAACTAAAAGTAACAAGAATGATGATAAGGCTACACCTTATGAGACCATAAGAGCTTATGAAACCTTATGAAAACTTAAGAGCTTATGAAACCTTATGAAACCTGTTGTGGTAGGATCCACTTAATTTGCATAGTGGAATACCGACCATATAAATATGGTTGGTACCGGGAAGACGAGGGGAGGAATCACGAGATTTCCTCTGTCTTGTTCAGACTTATTCCTGACCGGCTGTGTTGGGTGTTTGTGATTGTTTTCTTTATTTTGCGGTACGACGAGATTATTTGGCCCACGAAGATTTGATTGAAGTGCTTCCCGAACTTGCTTGCTTGACAAACTTCGACCCAGTTTTTGCTTAAGTTTTATATTTTTTATTTTTTCCATTTCTTTTGTTTGTTTTTAATTTGTTTTTGGGCTTCGGCCCACATTTTTTTTTTTTTTTTTTTGTCCGGTTTGACAAAGTCTTACCGGACGACTGCTTTTATTTTTTTTATTTCTTCTCAGTTTTTAAAAAAAGAACAGTTTAAGACAAAAGAAAAAAAAAAAAAAAAAAGCTTTGTTTTTATTTCTTTTTTTTTTTTTTACCTCCTCCTTCTTTTCTTAGCGACTTCGGTCGCTTTTTTCCCTTTTTGGTTTGACTAGTTTGTTTTTTTTTTTAATTTATTTTCTTTTTTTTTTTTTTTTTTTTTTTCTGGTTGTAAACCAGACTTTTTTTTTTTTTTTTTTTTTGTATAATTTTTTGAATTTAAAAAAAAAGAGGAGTTTCTGTTTTTATTTTTTATTTTCGGC